ACAGTCCAGAAGAGATCGGGGCTGAGAGGGAAATCGAGAAGCAGATGTCTGCTTAATAGACTCCATTCTTTCCATAACAGAAATAAATACCTTATAGCTGAGCCTTAACACTCTACCATAACACATCATTTAGAAGTGCACACACAATATTTTTTTAAACTCTTTATTAATTCAGTTAGTTAGCTTTAGGTTTGGAAGGAATGAAACCTATTGTTGCTCTCTGGTCAGAGAACTGTGTAGTAATCTTTAGGCCATCGTTGGTAGAAATTATCTACCAAATATAAATATTTTTTTTTTTTTTACTTTGATTTAAAGAATTCCTGAGAAACAGTACACTAAAACTAACATTAAACGAATCTCTTTATTGCAAATTCAGACTTTGGTCAATTATGAAATACCAGAATTACTACTGGCTATGGCAATTCAATTTGGTTTAACCGTGCATATGCATTATTGTCTTCCAAGTTAGTGTTCACAGTCTATTTTTCCACTCACAGGACCACTTTGCATCAGTCAGTACAAAGATGGGCCACGTTCTGGAGATGTAGTGCACTGGAGAAGGAAGTTCCCTACTGGACTTATTTTATTGCAGATTTTATAAGTTGTACATAAAGCGAAAAATAACAATTAAGTACTAAAGTACTTTTCATGCTAAGCTAAGTTTGCCCCAGACAACCATATCCTACTTCTGCCTCTGCCATGTGAGTTCCCATGAGACAGGCAACTTCAACCAAACTCTACAGAGTTTTTTCTGAGAGTAGTGTTCCTCATACGCACCCAGCTTCAGAACCTGTGGATGAAAAACCGTCACTGCAGCAGATGTTTGTGGGAGAGTGTGCTTTGAATCCCAATGTTGCAAAATGCTACACATGGTGCAAAATGATGCTGCACTGCACTACATATGTGCAAAGGAGACAGCTGAAGTGGCACAGATGATCTTAATTCTGGCATCACACAGTTCCAGGCTGCTTGACTGGTAACATCCTTTGTCATAGTTTCAAGCTACAGTTTGGTACTCAAAATATGCAGCATATTTATATACCAATTTAAAAAAATCCATGAAGCTGATAACAACGAATCATTCAAAATCATGAGGAAGCAAAAATAGCAAAGCATAAATATATATCAGGATAGCTCACTATGACCCTTCCTTTCTAACTTGGCATGTAAGTCCTTCATTTTAACAGATTTTTGTCTGCCATACCAATATTTTTTTTTTAAGTTATCATAAATGTATATAGAAGGTTTCCAAAATAAGCATGATGGTACTGGACAAAAGGTCCAAAGGGTCCCTCTGCCCAGCATCCTGGCAGTAGCCAGCATAACAAATAACATATTGGTACCTTTGAAAGAGGTTCCTAACTATAGGCTGTGCACCAAAACAGTAAGAAGAGATAAACAGGGTTGACTCATGAGTAGGAAATTCAATTTATACAGGAAAGATTCAAAAACCTAAGCATTTCTAAGATGGATAGATATAAAGACAATCTCATTACACTTCTCAGGTGACTGAGGGGACACAAGAGGAATCAGTGCATTTATGTGCTTCAGCCTCAGGAGAGTTATATTTATAGCTGTAACTGATCGCTGGTTAAAGAAAGATTTGAAGCTATGTTTTCTATTAAAAATGACTTTTTTTTTTTTTAAACAGTGGATTATTAGAGACAGTTCTGTAAATAATACTATGAAAGGAGAAAAAAAAATATTTTAAGGGCAAGCTGGCTTCATCCCTGGAATGAAACTATGCAGTTAACAAACTAATGGTGCAACATGTAGGAATGCCACTGAAGTAGCAAACTACTTTTCCTACTCCCATGTACTTTAGATCAGCTAATTTCCAAAAGGTCTGTGTGTTGTCACTGATTGATAAGGGAAGGCAATCCCTCTATGTAAGTTTGTTTTCTAGTGGAAAGACTGTCTCTATCCCAATGCCGTGGGTGTGAGACAATCCTTCCTTAAGGCTCTCAAGGCAAAAAAAAAAAAAAAAATCAGTCCTACGGAATCTACCATGGCAAAGAATGCAAAAATCACACGGGTTAATACACTCAGGAAATACAACAAAGTCCTGGAAATAAATTTTGAGCAAAATGCTGTTTAAAATAAGAATGGATAGCAAAACAATTAAAAAAAAAAAAAGGTTCATATCACTGTTGAAAGTAAACTGGACACATATGAGCAGCCAATGGGTAAAGGGAACTGAACATTGCTTAAAGAGTTACTGAGATCTGTTATGTAAAATCAGGAAATGAATAGTTTGACACAAGAGTCAGCTGTGGCAAAGATACTGCTTGATAATCAAAACTCTCTTGTGACTCACTACTGCCAGGTCACATGAGGAAATTAAAATCTCTCCTTAATGTATCTTGCTGCCTAGTTACTTTAAACCCATGAACTGCAAAGGGATTGTGGAAATTCCAAAAGAAGGATCTTTCCTATGGATAGCAAAAAAGCATAAGGAAATTTGGTGTGGCAGTAGGTACCTGTAGCCTGTTTACAAGTGACCCACAGCCAACTAATCTGCTTTTAAGAAGAAAAAAAATCTGGAGAGATTCTGAACATGTGCAGTAGAAATTGCAAAACACTGGGGAAAAGATGGAGGTATTATAAGGTCAGTTAAATATTTTGGCAACTAAAGATTGTTTAATTTAAAGAGACACTGATTTTATCTTCTCCAGCAATTACTGATGGCATGTAGTTACCTAAATGAAGTGCACTTTATGTTGTATAAGCAACAACCAAGCACATAATCTTCTTATTTCTTCATTTAAAAAATAACAGCCAACTGTGGCACTAAATTCATGTTGAGAAATCCTGGATAATAGCACTGCAAATGTGATATGTGAAGATTCAGAAAGACACCAGCAAAATGCTACACTTGTTACAGGTTTCAGGGTGTCTGTCTCATTGTTAGTAAGCAATATGTGTCTTCCTTTCTTTTCTTTTTTTAACTTAAAAGTTAGTTCTGAAACACAGCTGTGTAGAAACACCACACCAAACAGCTAACCAGCAGCATTACGAAAAAGTATATAGGCTCAGATATTACCAAATGGACTCATAAAAACTTCCTCTAAGCTTTACTCCTCTGGGGTGAAGAATGACCGTGTCACAGATTTATTGCTAGTGCAATATCAATAGTATCATATTAGCTAGTATCAATAGTAATCATTTACATTCAACGTGGCACTGCAAGTAGAGTTGTGGGGATGAAAAAAAGTCATATTTTGAGAGAGATAAATCGGGCAAGGAAACTCAGCTGTTGCCTGGGTCGGTATGTTCTGCACTGAGGATACAGCTTATGCGTTTGCAAAAGACTGCAAATCATGGACCAGTCCTAAATATCTTTTTCTAGTTTGTACTCAATTACCTGTGAAGTTTTGTGCTTTCAGATGTAGGTCATAGAGCTTATGAATATAGCGAATATACATCTCTTCCTTATTCAGTTCAGTCTTGTAAAAATTCTGTAATAAAATTGAATTTTGTAATGAAATGTAGTAGTTAATAAATATATGATAGTGGTTACAAACAAAAGACTTCAAACATAATGCTCTAGAAATAAATGCATACATTTCAAAGTTTCACATGTACAAATTCATTACACAGAACTGCAGTAATACAGTAAGAAATAGTAAATAGAATAGTAAATTTTCAGTAGACAACATGCTCCTGAATGTTTTTTTATTTAAATTCTCATAGAACATAAGACGAGGAACCTGACAGAACTGAAATCTGATGGTTCTTTGTTTATAAATACTAATCCATCCAAAAAGTGCTCTCATATATCCTTACTTAGGCCATTTAACATCCTGC